GAGACACAGCACATTGCTTTGTAATGTGCAACTGGACATGCTCACCCAAACACTCACAGGAAAACACTGGCAACTTTTACTTGGGCATTTAATCAAAACACAGACAAATGCTACGTGTAGAGTGTTTCAGATGCTCTCCTGTGAAAGCATCTGTGCCCAGCCTTGAAATTCAGGTAAGGAGAAGACAAAACCTTTCCCCTATTTCCTTTGCAGACCTACACATAAAATTGAAATAATGTGTCTCTCTGGACTGATCTTTCCTTGTCTGAATCTTTATTTCCTATTTACCATCACTCAGAGGAATGGGAAAATCTCCACTGAGGGTGTCTGATTGGTGAGTAAAATTGGATTGTTAGTAGCTTTTCATGTCACTGTGATTTTCTAAGTGTAGGCAAATCTCTGCAAAGAGAGATTTCTTTGTCAGAGTTGATTGTTGGGAAGATTTTTTATTTATATACTTAGAAATTTCATAAAATCTTTCAAGAAATAAGCTGAGACATTGTTTAGCTTTTGAAATCACACCATGATGAAATGAATCTGTAGAGGATTTTTTGGCAGTCTTACTCATTGCAATAGCTTTCATCAGTAAAGAAGTTGATGCTACAAGGATTCTGGTGCCTGAAATGAAGTGGCAAAGGCTTTCATTCACTTTCTGGCTTTGTTAAGGGTGATATGCATCTTGACTCTTCTAATTTCCATACAGTTTGCAGCTATATAGGATTTTGTCATATTTCAAGCATTTCAGCAGAAATTTTTCAGGTTAGATATCTGCCTCAGGATATTTTTGAAAACCTTTGAACAAAAATAGTTTATAGATTTTTATACAGGGAATCTGTGCTCTTTTTTCTCATCTTAACTGGTTCCAGTGACCTTTCTTCTAAGAAGTTCGGGTACATTACAGGCTTTGAAATAAGCATTTGAAAAATGAGGTTAGGAGGCTTCCTCCTGTACATTCTCAGTGAAACCTCTGCTGGACTGAGATTGCACAAGAGAGTAAACCATCCCTTTTAAACAGCAAGGCAAACACGAGCAAGACATTTGAGGGAAAATTGTTGAGGATCACTGGCAAAATAGATTCAGAGAACAAAATCAGCAGGAAGAAACTGTGCCTTGACGAGTAGTGTGAAAATTGATGTGGGAGGGAAAGAAAAGAAAAATGTGTCAGTTTAGTTTGGGAGATACCAAAATAGCTATAGGACCTGAAATGCAGAGCCTGGAACTAGCTGAGTAGAGAAGTGAGAGCGAGAAGCAGTGGGGCTGCGTGGGAAGCTTGGAAGTAGAAGGAGAGACAGTTCTGATGAGACGGACTCGGAAGTGTGGTTGGCGTAGGGGGCTGTGAGGCTGACTGAGGAGACTAAGGGAGGAGTCTGGCAGTGGGAACCAGCAAGGAGCTGGCTTGTGCATGAAGAAGACGGAACAGCAGAATCAGGGTGAGATCTAACGGGTGTTTGGGAAACTGGAAAACGGGATTTGCTGGGCAAACTGCCTGGGGATGATATGAGGAAGGCTTTTGGAAGTGAGGTGAGGATTTGCTGGAGACTGTTAAAATTTTGCCTGAGAAGTGGAAGCAGGGACTGGGGAAGAAGGGGTCACAGCTGAGATGGGCTAAGGGAAAAGCTCTGGTGCAAATATATGTTCAGCAGGAGTGAAACAGTGTTGGAGTGCTCCTGGGGTGAGGAGTGCAAGGAGGTGGAATTGAGGGTAACAGGAGTAGAAGATTCCGGGCAGTCCATGCTGATGGTGGGAGCAGGGGAGGCAAGGACAAGCTGTACTAGGGACCATTGTCCTTCAGTGTCAGGAATGGCATCCTACATCTTGCTGTTTTGTTGCTGCTAGCAGGTAAGACTGGGTCTTGTCACTGTTGATGCTGGCTTTGTTCAGAAGATAGCACCCTGTTGCCACTATCAGTTATTCCGTTAGAGTGGATATCATAAGGTTGGTCAAGGGAGCTGAATGATTCACCACTAACGATGATTTTTGTGCATGTTGTTATGATACCACATGAATACATTTTTCAGTAGCTTCGTAACACTAGCTTTTTAGAGAAACAAGATGCTTCACACAATCTGACACAGTTCACAGGATGATTATGCTCTTGAGATGCTCAAGGTCTGTGCAGTAGGATCCCCACTATCTATAACACATGAGGGAAGGTGTGCAATGAATCAGGCAAGAAGTTTTAGGATGAGTCTTTGTGTTCTTTGTGTACTGTAACAATCCCATGTGGGGCACCCACAGAGACTCACTGACTGTCCATTCTCCATTTTTTGGGTACTTCAACAGGCTCTGGAAACAGGCTCAGATTTGCAGATCTTTTGAGCATTTCTATCTGTAACTGCATCAGCAAGACTACTTTGAGCTTACAGTGTATTGTAACGTCAAATACTCTTAAATGTCAGGTCTTTAGTTTCAAGACTGTTTTGCCAAAAGCCAGCAGATACTTCATTTTATGCTCTATGATTTAGCTCACCGCTTTAATCCTACCGTCTCCAAACTTCTTAATGTTTGATACTGCATGTGCCATAGCATGATGTAAAAACATGTTTCATAAAAACATGTTTCATAAAAACAGACTTTAAACATAACACTTCTGCTGAAGAGCTTGCCCTGTAATACAGTGGAGAGCAAAAAGGAAAGGAAAAATAGGCCTAGGTTCGTGTAGGAAGAGAGAAGAAGGTATACAAACAGTTTGTCAGTAAGTGTCAGGATGTTTCAGGCAAAGAGGTTATTTCTGTAAAAGAACAGACACCAAATCACTGGTATAAGGGCTTGCACCTGATTCCTACAAAGGAGTCTTTGGAGGAGTATAAAAAAGGAAGAGCAAAGGGGGAATGAGAGTAAAGGTATGGTTTTGGACAAAAACATTGTTGGATTGTGAAAATTAGGTTCAAAATCTGGACTAGAATGACAGAAGAAGCTGGAGGAAATAGGACCAAAAAGGAAAATAATTTAAGCAGAAACATTTTGTAATCACTGGAGTGTAGAAAGAGTGATCATAGCTGTCATCAGTTATTGTTGAGGGGTACTAGTGGAAAGGATACAAGGATATGAGGTGAACAGCAGCTGGGAGGTTGCCTGGGGGCTGTGTGCTAAGCAGCCAGGACTGTTACATGACAGTTGAGGCTTTGCTATTTGGTGTGCAATGGTAGGAATGAATGAATCAAGTTTACACAGGGAGGTGAAAAGCAGGAGGGGACAAAGAGGATCTAGGGCTGAGACAAGGTGAGTAGACTTGAATCAGAAGTAAAACACTGCTATTACTGACAGTAACTGAGAAGAGAAATATCAGAGGGTACAGTAAGACATATGAAAAGGCAGAGAATTAGTTATATACATGAGAAAAGCAGAAGGATTTTGTAAGGCCCACCTCTCATGAAACAAGCCTGGAAGGAAATTACTCATTGCTACTGTGGCTGTGGCCAGTGTGCATCATTCTAAACTTTTCTTCCCTACTCCTTTTTCTTCCTTTCTTCCTCCTTTCCAAGTCTTTGAGGGTCATCTAGATTCCCTAAAAGAAAGTGGTGACGTTTGCTGTCCTATGATTGGTTTTGCAGTGATTTAATTGGCAGTTGATACATGCATGGGATTCTGAATTAAGTTTTAGATAAAAAAGCCTCACAGCCCATTACCAGATGTCAGACCTCAAAATCACTAACAGGGCACTGCCCAGTCCCCTGGGGCTGTCCCCACCCTGCCCACAGCCCACGGCCCCATGTCAGCCTCCTGAGGCCATCAGTCCCTTCCCAAGTTATGCTGCAGCAGGACTGGTCTCCAGCTTCCCATGGCCCAGCTGGGTCTCTGCACTGAACCTGTCCATATTTAGGAAATCAAAAATCCTTGACCTGTCTGGCTACAGATACAGGAAGAAAAAGAGAGACAAGTTTGATAACATAGTAAGGATTGGGTTCCAGTGTATGAATGACTGCAGTGTATATAATCTCATTCCTTTTTAAATGACTGTGGTAATTTATTGGATAATTTGCATATTCCTTTGTATACTTATTTCTTTGAATTTATTCTTCTCCACCTTCACTTCACTGAATTATACTTTGTGTCTTTTTCAGTCCAAATCTCAACCTCCCTTTTCCACAATGTTTTCAGAGCCAGCTACACAGCCTTTCTATTTCCCTTGGCCCCAACTCTGCCACTTTTCTTCTGGTTGCTGCTTCCTGTCTCTCTCTGGGAGCTTTTCTGTCAGACTCGGTGCTGCCTTTTCCCTTTTTTTCTCCTCACTTTGGTTCTTTTCATACCCAAATTGACTCTTCCTTTCCCTTGCTCCTTTGTGGGCTGGTTGGTAACAGTTTTAGTACACTGGCATCCTAACTGGTGTTGGCATCCCTGAAAAGGAAGATTTCAAGGAGTGATTTTAGGTGAAAAATGTAGTGGTTCTATAGGTGCTTCATAAACTTTGTCCAAAATGCAAGGGCAGCAGAGGAGAAAGTAGGAGCTATTTGTTTGTTAACAGGGACTAATGGTAGCAGGGACTAGCAGTAAGACTGATGAGAAGGTAAAGTTGAGCTTTTAACACTGCATGAGAAATTGTAGATAAAGAAAAATCTTGGAAGGCAAGACAAGGAGATGATATGGAATGAAACAGAGAAGAAGCTAAAAGACAGGCATAAGATGTGGTGTAATGAGAATAACAAGCAGACTAATGATGACAATGAGGAAGGTAGCACTATAGTTGCTGAGACCAGAAAGAAATCTGATGCAGTAATGGAGGGCTGAGATGACCACTGCAGAGAACAAGAGTTTTAGCTTGTGCCCTGTAATGGAAATTGTGACTTTGTACCCACCTCAGTGCTCTAAGTGTGCTATTCTATAGGAAACTTTTGTCAATCTTTTACTCAGTAGCCCCCAGCCAAGCTCATATGTTGTCTAAGCTTGCACCTTTTCTCACCTAACAACTTTTAGCCTTTACTGCAAATGAGATGACGTCAGACCCTGTCTCTTGCTGACGAAATGTTGACAAGGGTTCTTCTAACTCTTGGCTGTCTGCAACCTGCTTGAGGTTCCTAATCCATTAGTGATTTTCTGCTTCATGGACCAAGCCAGCCTGGCTGCTAAGTTTCTGGGGTCTTCCTCCCTCCTATCTATCCATCCCAAATTGTACAGAAACAAGGGCGATGCAGATTTGGTTGAGCAAGGGTCTTGCTCTTGTAATTCACCCTGATGCAACAGCACACTCAGAACTGCATCCAGCAGAGCTTGTTTTTCCTGTTCATTTTATATTATGGCTGTTCCTGGGGGGTTTCTACACGTCATCCCCTCCTCACCTTCTATGTACGCATGTACATATCAGTATGTATGTGTTTGCAATTGTCTTTTTGAAGGGATTAAAAGGGCTTAAGTACAGAATGGGGCTCAGCAACTGAGAATGTTATCTATTTCCAGAGGTTTTCCCTGCCTTCCACTGAGTTACCCTACTGGTACCTTTTTTTACTTCTGGCTTCAAATGTATCAGGAACATAAATAAGTATTGTTGTAATTTCAATCTTTTAATCTGGGAAGTCCCACTTATCATCAAGTAGGGTGCAGAGGATCACCCCACATGCTCAGCTCTGACCAAGGTCTGTCTGTGAAAAATTAGCTTGAGACACACCTTTGTAAATTTATCACCCGGAGATTTTAAATCCTTATCAACCAACTTAGTTAGTTTACTTTGAGTAAATAGTATGCCAGTGTAACTGATATTAATGGTTCTGAACTACACGTGCTTGTGTATATATATGTACACACACGTGTGCATATGTTTCTGTACTTGGGTAATAGGGGCCATACATTAAGATTTAATAATATTCAATACTTCCAGCTATAATACTTCTTATAGTTTATAAAAGTATCAAAATATTGTTTTTTCAGTCTGCTTTTTTTATTTAATATTTCTTTAAATACTGCAGATTTTTCAATTGCAATGGTTCAGCAGTTCCAGGAGAAGGATTAGAGAATGCTATATTATGAGAGAATGCTATATTATGAATCTTTGTTTCAGCAGGTCAAGGACAGAACAAAGTACCAGTGATACCTGTTCAAGGCAATGCAGTCTATTCTTTGTTGCCTGTTCTAGGAATAAATCTTTATGACAGAAGGAAGAACTTCAATCTGAGTGTGAAGTGCTAGGTTGTGTACTCACATGACTTCATCATTAAATAACTTTATCATTTACCACTTTTGGACTGTCTAAATATTTCCTAATTGAGAGTACTAAAGCTGCTATATCAGGCCTTGTTTTGATCAGGGGAAAAGGAACTCATTCCAAACTCAAAGCTGGTGGTTGGATAAGTGTGAGTGGTTGTGATGTAGCTACACATGGTCAAACAGTTAAAGTCCAGCCCGGTAACAAATGTGGGGGATTATTGCAGAAGTTCTGATATCACAAATGTAAATCAAGTATGAGCCAAATGAACCAAGAGAAAGCAATGTAACAGAAAAAAAATATCCAGTAACTGCAGCACATGACAATTTTGTGAGACCCCTGGAAAAGTACAATCTCCTCATTGAGACAGAGAGCTCTTCTGAGTCAAACCGTCTAGCCTGACATACAGGGGATATGCGAGTAGGTTGCTAGACACTCCTCCATACCCTGTGTAGCATATAGAAAAGGGAGATGTTGAAAGTAATTAAAAGCAGAGATCTGTCAGAAATGTCTTGAAGTAAACAGAAAGATGGAAAGAATATTTTATGGTCAGTAAACTTGAGAACAAAGATACGAACAACAGGATACAATTTTTTTGGTTTTATCACAAGGAGTGTGTATATTAGGAAGATAAGAATGTTAACAATGGAATAGTAGAGGGAGATGGTAGAATTATCAGCAGTGCAAAGAAAACCGGAATTCAGGCTTCAGGCCTTTTTCCCCATCTTGCACATGCATGAGAATATTGGCATTTCCTTCTTCAATAATCCACACCCACCCACCCAACTATGTGTAACAAGAACAAAGCAGATTAATGCCTTATATTTAGTTTTTAGTATTTTTTCTTCTGGGGTTATGTTAGTTCCAAAGAGACAGTTAGACAAAATCTCCTTGATTTGTTACTTTTCACTAGAAGAGGTTTCTGTTGTTTTTTTTTTAAGTCTTATTATACTGTCTTTCTATTTTACCAATGGAAGCCCATACTGCTGCCCTTTGGTTACAGCAGAATTAGTCTATGTAGTATGGAGTTGTTATGTTAATAGTCTCACCACTCCTTGACTTAGGAATGCCTTGAAGTTACCTAAAATCACACTTAATTCAAGGTAGGATGAGGTAAAATGCAAATAGAAATATTAACTCATTACATCTAAAGTAGCAAACACAATTAAAAGCATCTTGAAAAGACAATAGATCGAAGGAATAGTTCATCTGATTTACTGACACTGACACCTACTGACAAAAGTGCTTTTTGTTTTGGATTTTTTTCCCTCCTTTTAAATTTCCATGTGACTTGTCCCTCTTCTGACAAAATGGCTCTCAGAGTTTTCTTTCCTCCTATTCCTCAGGTTTCTTTTAGGTGATTTTCGTCATTGGAAACCTTGCATTACACAGAACTCCGTACTGGGTTCTCCCATCAGAAAACGTCTTCTGAAGAAGCCTTCGGACTTCATCGTAAGGTAGCTTTACTGAATTGGCATGTTCATCTCACTTGTTGAGGGCAGTGTTTGCTCTTACCACCAGCCTGCACTTTGAAGTTTTCTAAAGAGTCCAGACAGACTTCACCTGTCATCTCGGAGCTCATTCTAGCCATCTTTACGGTCTGACCATACTGAATAAGTTAAAGATTCTCTTGTTTCCACAAATAAACATAAGTCTTAGAAGAGGAGTTTAACCAACTCTGTGGTGGGTTGACCTTGGCTGGATGCCAGGTGCCCACCCAGCCACTCTATCACTCCCCTTCCCAGCCAGACAGGGGAGAGAGTAAGGTGGAAAACAACGTGTGGGTTGGGATAAGGCAGTTTATTTAAAGCAAAAGCAAAGCAGAAGCTTGCTTGCACAAAAGCAAAGCAAAAGATAGCAGAGTTTATTCTCTATTGCCCATGAGCAGCGATGTCCGGCCACTCCCGAGCAGCAGGGCTTCAGCACATGTGACAGTTCCTCAGCAGGCAGCCATTGGAGACAATGAATGCCTGCCTTCCTGCTCCTTGCCTCAGCTTTTATATCTGAGGTCACACGCTATGGAATATCCCTTTGGTCAGTTTGGGTCAGCTGGCCTACTTGGGTCCCCTCCCAGGATCTTGCCCTTGATTGAGGAAGGAATGTTACAGTGTTGGTGCTGTGCTCAGCAGTAGCCAGAACACCAGCGTGTTATCAACACCCTTCTAACTACCAAAGCAAAGCACAGCACTGTGAGGGCTACTTTGGGGAAATGAACTCCAGCTCAGCCAGACCCAATACAATCTCCTAAGTGGGTTCTTTCCCCCAAGAAAGTAAGTCTCTCCTATTTCCCTCTTGTGACTCATTAACATGTTTCAACATGAAAGATGTCTTATAGCAGACCTTATATTCCCTACTGGTAGTGTAATTAACAAATACATATGATACAAGTATCTAATTAGGGAAAAATTAATCCAGTTCATTTTCTGACTCCTGAGACAGGTATGATAACAATTACTTCTCTGAGGTGATAGCATTTAAAGTGAATGAAGCCCAATCTCATCTAAGCATACTCTAACAAGGAGTCGCTATACCGAATTATTTAGTGTCATATTTGTTTTAATTGCTACACAGTGTGAAATTGTGTCTTTAAAATGCTTCTGAAAAAGAACAAAAAGGAAACACACAATCTTGGACCTCATGAGACCAATGAACAATCTGACTGACTTTAACTGGTTTTGTAAACAGCCCCTGATGCATTAGGACTCAATGGATCTCACTGTGAAGTGAGAATTGATGTGCAGTGAAGAAAAGGTTAAAGGAAGATCTTCCCATAATTTTTCTTGTAGCCCTTACCATGGTCTTATGCAGCCAGGAAAATGAAACAATATTGGCTAAGTGCCATTATGTGTAAGAATACTGCATTAATTTGAGTAAGTATTGTAACAGTTTAATGTAAATACAAGTACATTTTTAATATAGAGATAATGAACATTCATCCCCCTCCATTCCTCAGGTCATGCCTACACTAAGAGAGATTTAGTTATCAGTAATGCTGTTAACTGTATAAGTCTGCAGATATTCTGGTATAGATGTGTGTTATAATCACCTGTCAGCCCTGAAACGAAGAAGCCTTGTGTGTAAGTACAATTTCAGCAATTTAAGTAGTGCTGACTCTATTGCTGTCTGAGAACATACAGGAATCCAGTTGCCATTATGACAGCTAGGGTTTATGTACATCCACACATTGGTGGCACACAAATAACTTCCAAAATGATCCTATTGTATCTTGTAAAAACATTACAAATATGAAAAATCGAAAAAAATTAAGTTGCATCCTTGAGAAATCCAAGCAAAGATGTTTTTATTGCCAGCAGGTTCAAGGTGAAAAATTGAAAAGCAGAAAATGAAAACAGTGTTGCTTGACTTTTTTTGATGGTGAAGACTCTATGGGACAGAAAGAGAATGTCACGTTTGCCAGCAGTTATTGCTTTGCACTTAATTTTGCAACTTCAAATACAAACACACTAACGAAGAGCTTTCTACTGGGGGAAACGGAGTAAGATTGCACAGAGGACTTAGTCTCTATCCATTAAGTGCAAGGAAACAGAATAAGTGATCACGGGAGAGGGAATATGTCATATTGGACTGCATTTGCCTTCTCTCCTTTTATCTGTGAACACGGGAAAACACCTTTTCTGTAGTTTTCTCTGCTACTTCTATATGTTTCCTGTCATATGAACCATTTTGGGGCTCTTATGCTGCAACAGCAATGGCAGCAAACACATATATGATGCACTGTCTTTGGAGAAGGGGAATGGGAGAATTCATCCATTGTTAGTTGTTAGGATTCTCTGGAGGAATAGGGACGAGTTTCTCCTGCAGTGATTATTGGTTTATTTGTACAAAGTGGAAAGCTTCAGGGCAATAGATGGAAAGAAACTCATTCTGAAGGTGTTGTAGGCTTTGCAGATATGCCTGTCACAGGTTATAGAGAACTTCTATTCCCAGATTCTAAAGGTTATGAAAAAGTATGACTCTGTAATCCTAAATGAAGATATTGTTACCCAATGTGAAAGAATAGAGAGTCTGCTTGGCAGCTTTAAACAACAGCTTTAAAGGAGAAGAAGAGAGAAGTATTTGCTCATAAACATGTAATTGTTCTGAGAGAGGGGTGAATTGTGGAATATTATGAAATAGCCATATTATTTGTCTGTTTGATTTAACAGTATAATTATGGTGAGTTTCTTCCATAAGAGAATTTTTACTTATTAACAAAGCCTATTTTTATAAGGCTTGAAAGGTCTTTCTGCTATCATAAATCTGTAAGAGAATTACATGTTATCTTTGTTATATCAGTCACATGAAGTCTAACTTGTATCATCTTTCCTTGTTGACAGAAAGGCAGATTTCCACTTTAGAGATCACATCATACTCCTTCTTGTGAAAATAATATGAACCAGAAAGTGATAGTTTTCCTTCTCCCAAATTTTATATTTGGGATATTTCTTTTTGGATTTTTCTGTAAGAGACAAAAAAACGTAACAGGTGAGTAAAGAAATTATCAACAATAAGACCTCATGTTTTATAGAACGAGGGACACCTTTGCCAAATGTGTTAGAAAGTAACTATGGAGCCTAAGTGATAAACAATACTATGAAAACATCCAAGGCCCTGTCACTGCAATAGCTGTCTTAGCAACATATGAGAGGAAGAACACTACAAAAACATGATGTTAGAGCATCAGACTTGCTTAGACTAATAGTGCTAACATGCTGAAAGTTTTCATTTTAATAAACTTTTCACTAAGTAGCGTAGTTTATTGCATGTTTGCCATGGGGAGACCAGTGACAGTAAACAAAAAATTGGTTTTAGCATCTTCATTAGTTTCTGTAAGCAGGGTGATAGATTGAGTGCTATGATTATCACAAATAAAGAGACTCAAACAAGCATATTTCACTGAAATGGTTTAAATTTCTTCCTTGATTGCAGGTGCTTTTCCTGATCCTGCTGAAAATTGGGTGGCAATTCAAAATGGTCGCAAAAGCACACTGGCTTCTGTCTGCCTGAAGAACAACCTTAATAAATTAAAAAGTAAATTGGATTCTCATGTTGCAAACCAGCTCTTTGTGGAGCACAAACATAAATTTATCTACTGTGAGGTGCCCAAGGTAGGCTGCTCCAACTGGAAGAGAACTATTTTTCTTCTCCAAGCAGACTTGAATGCAGAAGCTTCTGAAATTGAGCACGACCACATCCACCAAACATCACTGATCAAAAAGTTGGTGTCTTATCCTCCTGCCATACAAAAGGAATTTCTAAACAATTACACCAAAGTGATGTTCACCAGACATCCCTTGGAACGGCTGGTTTCAGCTTATAGAGACAAACTTCTGCATTCTGAGCCGTTCTACAGTATCACTGTTGCTAATGAGATTAGGGCAATGTTCAGGAAAAACAAAAATTCCTCTGAAAAAGTGAGTTTCCAGGAGTTTGTCAACTTCATTATAGCAAAACCGCCAAATACTCTTGACATTCACTGGAAACCAATGTTTCTGCTCTGTGATCCTTGCAACATTCACTATGATATTCTGGGTAAGTATGAAACTCTTGCATTAGACTCTGAGCATGTTCTGAAGGTCATTGGAGCACCAGAGAGCCTGCAGTACCCCAGCTTGAAGAGATATGGGTCCGAGAAACGAACTAATGGTGATATCACCTTGGAGTATCTCAGACAATTGACCTCAGAACAAATTGAGAAGATCAAAAAATTGTATCAAATGGATTTTTTTTTGTTCAACTATACTATGAAATATGAGGATTATTTTTCCCTGAATGACTAATGTAGGTTAAACAAAGAACAGTTTCCTTTGTACAAAAATGGGCTGAACTTGTCCTCACAGGTGCTTGATAGGTGGGTTGGTGACTGACTGCTGCTGAGATTTTCCTGAAATTTGTAGATACGGTTTATCATTCTAAACACTCTTATAAAAAACCCTGCCACGATCTCTTGTACCGTACAGTACTTTACCTATGAAATTATTGTTTTCCTGTTGATCTCTAGTGGCATATGTCTGATTTGTGAAAACTGTTTATAAATGATAGGTTTTGGTCCATTGATAAGAGACATGGGAAGGATGAAGAATGTTGTTTTTCACAATGAATATTTTAGAACACCATTTTTATATAAATTATTTTTTATTAGAAAAAAGACATAAGAAGTAATAAATAATCTGCTTGAGAGTCAAACCACTCTTTGTCTGCAAGAGGCTTAATCATGAATCCTGTAAAAAAGGAGCAAATAACTTCAGATACTCGAAGCTGCATTACACAGAATCTAATACCTGATTATCTTCCCCTCTAGCAATGCTCTCATCACTGCCCACCAGCCTCATCCCTCAAGCAGCACAGTTGTCAGCAGTCGAGACAAAGTTTCCATCATAGCTCTTAAAAATTTTCTTATGAGCAGATCTGGTGTTCGTGGTGACTTTACAAAATCTTTTCACCACTTTTGTGAGCATTATGGTCTGATTTTAGAGGGAAAGTATGAAAAATGCACCTTTTTTAAAAAAAGAAATAGTGATACCTTGTAAACTGTACAAATGGGGTGGTGCAGGATCTAAAATCTCAGTGGAAAGGTGACTCTTATTTAATTCTCCAAAAGCGCTTACCACACAGTCAAATGACTGCCCAGTCAGCACAGTGGGGACAATGTCTGAGGTTTCCTATTTGTGCCTGTTGGAGCCCATGAGCCCTTGGAACTTACCTGAGTATGGCACTTAGGCAGAGCTGGGTAACCTTGGATAATGCGCTTGTTCTGCCTGTTCCTTTCTCACTTCACAGGAGAATGAGCGCAAATAAATTGTGGAATTGTGGTGAGGGGAACAATGAAACATGAGAGAAGCAACTCAAGCCATTAGCCACCTCCTATATTCCTAGGTGACTTTCGTTTTAGATCACTGAGAAGTCTATGACTGCTACTATATTAAGCATGAGATTTGTCCCTTTTTGTTTTAAATCTATTGCCTAGTCACATTCAAAGTTACTTTGTGGCCATGTTAATTGTAACAAGTTTTACAAACTAATTGTGACTATTAGTACCACTAATAGTGGGGGTATGTCAGTCTCTCAGGAGCTGTCAGTATTTAGGGGATGTCAGTCTCTCAGGAGCTAACCTGAAAATCTCTCAAACGCACCGAGTTTCTCTCAGCTATATCTGCAAATGTACAAAGGCTGTCAGGCTAGTCTTGGACCCAAAGTTGGTTCTCACTTTTCATTACATAGAAAAGGACAGGGACAAAATTGCTTAATCTGCACTGCAGACACTGATTTGTAGAGCCTTTGCTGCAAGCAGCATGGCTTAAGGAGAGGGAAAAGGAGACGGTGAAAAACAGATGCAGTGGGATTTAAGTTTTGAGGGTTGTGAAGAGACCTCCCAGTGTAGGGAGTGGGATGCAGGGGTTATCTACTTCAGAGGAAGGTGCAGTGATATATTAGTCATCAGCTGGAGACAGTGATGGCCAGAGAAAGAAGCTGTCTTCATCCCTCCTTGACGGCAGTGGTACACAAACCAGGACTACCATTCAGTACATCTGGCAGGCCTTGCATTGCTAACTATTTCATAAAGGGGGCAGATTTGGCACAAGGAGAGATCCAAAGCGAGAAGACCAGCAAGAACAGTGAACAATTATTTTTTAAAACATAGCCTATGATTTTATGAGGAATGATTCATGGTTCTGGATCTTAGCCTCACCACCCCCATATCTGGTGTCCCCACAGCCCTAGTATCCCCTGATTACTGGATTACTCATGACACTCTGGCAACCCTGTAGTTCATGTAGATTTTTTTTTTTTACTTTTTAGTTTTACTGAGGCAGAGGAAGCTGGAAATTACTCCCATCAAAGTTGAGGCTATGCAGAAGGACGCAGACTCTCTTTTTTTCCTGAATCAGAACCATCTCCAGCTACATGCTTCTCCCTGCTTTCTTTGACAGATCATACAGAGATAGAGGGGAATAAGATTTGCTTCATAACTCACTTCTACATGGTAGAGCTCTCCAGAGCTCTAAGTATATCTGAAGCTGTAACTGTATCTAAAAATACTTTAGTTTTCTGAAACCACCAGCCAGCCTAGGAAGACTCTGAAGAAATTATACTGACAGAGTTTGATAGGTGTCTTTGCTGTCAGCACTCTAGTGTTAACACCCCCCTCCAGTTCCTTGCTGTTAGATGTGAGTGGCTTTCTGTTCTTATTTCCTCTTTCACACAGGATCACGTATTCTTCCCACAGCGGTGACAGAAAACTGATGGCTAATTCATTCATCACAAGTGCTAGTCAGTAACAAAAGTGTATCTATTGAAGCAGAAAAGTCCCCTATTCACAAGGGACTTTGAGTTTTGACATTTGCCAAAAGGAAACTGTAAGTAGCACATTGCCTTGAATCACTGGCTGCTGTAATGCAGGTGTGGCTCTGAACAAAAAAAAAAACTGCAGAGGACATGTGCGTGCATGTGTGCACATATTAACAACAGTTTTAGGAAACAGCAACATACAAGAATGGTATAAATTGTGGATTATCAACAGTAACAAAATGAAAATAATGGGTTGATATCTGTCGGAAAATAGAAAAAAATGCATTCTTGATATTGTAATGTAGTAAAAATTGATGTTGGCTCTGGACATTGTCCTAGTCAGCCCACGAGAATTGCAAGACACCTGTAAACTTTATGATGAAAATTATAACATGACTGTCTCTTTGTGGCCTCGGAGAGAGATTTCCTGTACTGTCTTCCCCAGAAGTGCACTGCCCAGAACAAGGCTCTAAACTGAGCTGGGCTCCTTCCTGGCTTTTGCCCAGAGAAGAACCTCCAGTGGAGCTTCTTTCCTTTGGATGCTAACTCGGAGTAATATTTTCCTGGGAGAAAAATGGGTGCTTGCTGTTGGGAGCAAGGGTGTAGGCAGCGTGGAAAGGCTCAGGGGTCCTGGGGTGGATTTGAAGGGGTAGGGAGTGCCATAATTCATCTTCAGATTTATTATTATATGCCTGTGATATGACTATTGTTATATTTCATTGCTAATTACCTTAATAAATTGTAGTGAGTTAACACATTAATCTATTTGTTCATCCTTCTCAATAACATCTGTTTAAAAAACAAACCCATCTCAAAGTTGTTCTATCAAATCATAACATGGGCCACACACTATTAGACAACAATAAATACAAAGCCACTTAGCTCTGCTTTGCGACATTAATATAAATCTGTATCACAGGACTTTTAAAGAATAGAAAGAATTAGCAAACACTAATGTGTGCTCCAGGTGGAATGGAAGTAAGTGGAAAAAGGAAGAGAAACAAGAAATCTTGCAAGGTCAATCTTGTATCTTTCCTACAAATCTGTCAGTAGTGAGAAAATAAGAGGGACTTTTCCCATTCTTATGGAAATCCTCACACACACTCTTAGGATAGGTATCCACAAACCTGACATCATACGTTCTTCATGAAAGTATAAAAGATCTGACAGTTGATTAGTGTATGTCAGCAATGGAGACCATGTCACCAGTTGCTCCTTGAAGCAGGTATTTCCTCCACTTAAAAATGATGATTCTACCTGTGAGCAGTCATAATTTTTCACGCAGTTTTGAATGTGAGTCTTAAAAGGTAAACTGTGATTAGTGGTTTCTTGTTCAGAGAACTTCCCAAAGCAGGACAGCTCTGAACAGAATAAAAGGTGTGAGCAATGAAATTTTGAGCATTTGCTCTTCCACAGCAGTTGCTCACAACTAGAAGGTGATTCCATTTCTGCATTCAGCGTTAATAAGTCAAAAGCTTTTAGCTCTATGGTCTCCAGTTTTCTTGACTTGTCTGTCGTAGAGTTAGACAACCAAAAGGAGACAGGAAAAGAAAAAGACACTAATGCTCTGTGATTGTGCTGTAGGCCTGATATGATTTCTCCCTGTCACAGCATTTCTTACCTCCCTTCCTTCCAGAATTATAAATTAGGTTATGGTTTATTAAAAACTAAAAAGATATTAAATTATATAACTTACATGAATCAATGTAAACCAAATAAAATCAAAACAGGCAGAGAATTTATCTGATAGAAGTGTCTGAAATTTCAGGAAGTTCCTCTTGATATCAGGTACCAGGCATCAAATGTACACAGGTGGGCAGTTACGGTGCTGCTTCTAGTAAGAACTATTTTAAAGGGAAAAGCTCCACTGATCATAAATCTCAGTCAGTATACTGAGAATAAAATTCCAAATGAATTAGCAGAGCAAAAATGAGTGATACATCACAGGATCAGGTCGGCGAAAAGGAACTGGCTCAGCACCATTTCAGCACTACTCATGTACACCTTACCTGTGCTCACCACAACTAGAACACTTCATAGAATCAAAGAATCAACTGGGTTGGAAAAGACCTCCAAGATCATCAAGTCCAACCGTCGATCCACTACCGCCATGGTTAATAGACCACGGCACTAAGTGCCACATCCAGTCTCATCTTAAAATCCTCCAGGGACAGTGAATCCACCACCTCCCTGGGCAGCCCATTCCAATGTCTGATTACTCTGTCTGTAAAAAATTTCTTTTTAATATCCAACCTAAACCTCCCCTGGAAGAGCATAAGACCATGCCCTCTTGTCCTTCCTTTATATTTCCAGGATCCTTTTTATGGCTTCCTCTGGAGGTGTATCAAAGCTTAGTAAGATGAAAAGGCATTCTCAAAATGTTCCATCATCCCAACTGTAGAGACATTTTTACCAAGATTATACAGCATTCCTGTTGTCTCACCAAAGGAACAACAGTCTGGCCATAAGTGGAGCACACAACAGGACTTAGCACGGGTACCCAAAGACAGGTAGACATACTCCGGTTTATATTTTTATGATTTAGCAGAACTATGGGGAAAGCTTTTTACCTACAAATCTATGACTAACATCCTGATTCTCACCTCACTTGATTGTGTTGTCTTCCATTTTTTCCTAGATCCCTTCTTCATTATTCACCTGAACTGCATGTATGGACTGCTGCTGAGTTCCCATAGTTAGGGGTCTCCAAGGTGCTGCAGATGCTGACTAATTCAGGCATAGGTTGTTGCCAGGTGTAAGTTCCTGAATCTATTGTAACTATTGTAAGAAGGCTTTTTGTGTGAGAAAGTTCTTTAAGCACCTGCTCCACGAGTGAGATATTCCTACAAGCTGAGAGATAGTGAAGGATGTTTTGAAGGCATTTCCTGTGGTAAAAATAAACTCATCTTCCATTTGGATAGATTTAGTGGGTAAGGGAGAAACTAATCTTGGGATCATTGACATCAAGTCTCAGAGGCTCCTGTTAATTATATACCAAAAGAGACAGGAAACTCTCCCTCATGAGGGGACATCATTCTCTGCAGCGTTAAGTTTTGTTTACCCTCAGAGATTTGTTAAGATTGGTCCTCAGGGATGCCTACATGGTAAAAGAGCCCACAATGATGCTTTTATTTATAGCAATATTCGTTGTTGCTGTGCAAAGCCAGATGCCCACTTAGCTGTATACCATATCAACACTGGGATTTGTGTCCTCAGTTCTTGTTGCTGTGCTTTACATGCCACGGGACACTCAGGAGTATCCCATCTCACTGCTGGCAGCTGACCATGCGCTACATATCAGCATTTTTTACAGCCTCTGCCAAGGCTTTTCATTCTACTCCAGTTTTGTGACTCTGTATCTGAAACAGGTTTGGAAAAATTGCAATTTTGGGAGTTGATGAGAATATTTATTTCTCTCTAGAATAGTAACAATATAAATAAAAATAGATCTGAAATAGTTGTTTCAACCACTTATTTAATTTGTAAACTGTTCTACAAATTCCTTATATGAATTTAGGTCTTGCAACCTTAGTCAAGACAGAGTATTGCAATTCCTGTTTGCTTTGTTTTGGTTTTGTCCTTGTCTATGTTCTAACAAACTTTGGATTTTGTGAGTTTAGAGTGCCATGTAGATTGAAAGTATGAACTCGGGTATGTCACATATTAAGTTTCCATTCCCGTTGTCAATTCAATGTTAATTCAATGTCAACCCTTGTATGAATGCGTCACCTACTGAGATTTAAAAACTGAACCATGGTACTCCATGCAAACATTCCAGGACATGAGATGTGGATTCTAATCCAAGATCTTGAACCTGGACCTGTTCAAACTCTCCAGCCTCATGAGGCCAGACTTTTGGACGTTTCTTTTTTGCTTTGTTTGGTTTGGTTTCCGTTTTGGCAGCTAGCACCGTTGGAAATAAGACATTGAAACGCCCCGAGTCTTTTGAGCAAATAACCAGTTATCATCCACGTTCCTATGGGGCCATCTGGTGGCGAAGGGGCTCGGTAAGGGAGGATCGCCCGAAGAGAGGTACCCGACGGCTGCTGTGTTTAAATACTTTTTTTTACCTGAAGTCTTGTGTCTCAAGGCTCTCATGCCTGTTCTTTTTCTCCCTCTGCTTCTCTCTCCCTCTCCCTCCGATTATATCCCTCTTTCCCTGGAACAAGAATTCAGTTTCAACTCGGCCACTATTGGCTTTCTTGTCCCAGTAGTTTTTTTTTTCGCCTATTTGCCACAAGCCTTCCTCCCTAACTTGCTAGGTTGTGAGGACTGACCAGCTGCTGACACTGGAAGTTACATTATGTTACTCTAGCAAGAACTTCTTGTTTCCATGTTGCACAGCTTCTTCCATGGTGAAAGCCTACTTTGTTACTTTCCCCACCCCCCCCCCAACTGAGTAAGAAAATATAGTATTATGGATTTGATTATAATTAAGTTGTAACTGAACTTTACAGTTCAATGTCATATAAAAATGACATATGAAGACAGTATTCAGTTGACTATATTTAGAAAGGCATTTTCTTTTGTGTGCTGTGATTCATCTCTGTCACTTCTTCAGGGAGACATTTATCCATTCACCCTCTCTGAGTACCTCTTTAAGAGTTTTATCTTCATGTGACAATCTGAAAAACAGGCATGGTATACAGTTATGTATGAACATCTAACCTGTCATTAGGCATTTTTTGTGTAAAATGCAGCTCAATACCTCCATTATTAATCTCAGCCAAAATTCTACTGATGCTTACATGATGAAAGCTGCAAATAATATTGTTTTCCAGGAATCTATATACATGTGTATCGAAGGGAAAATGTTTTAATGAAAATTACAAAAAACTGCCTGTGAGAGAAATGTAGTTTCTAGACTGAAAATTAAATCCCCTGTATCATCTCAGCCCAGTTTTTTTTCCATTTCTGAAGGTCCTTATACCCTCATGAGGCACTTTCTCAAACTCTTTGACAAGAACTTTGATAACATCATAAAAGAAATATTATTCATTATTCCTCCAGCTGATATATAAAAAAAAGAAAAAAACACCAAAAAACCCCACCAACTACAAAAACATTAGGTGCCAGTTAGTAAATATCATGACTAATTAATAGTCAACCTTATCAGCTTTGTAAAGCAAAAAAACTCCAACACAAACAACAAACCAACAACAAAAAAATTCCAGAGCTAAAACCAAAAAGTGTTTCTTCAGGTTGATAACAACCCCACTAGGGAAGCAGAGGTCTTCTTGCATTTTCAAAGAGGATGTGTTTTAATTTGCTTCCTGTCTAGTCATCAGGCAGCCTTGCAGAATTGTCCTTACCTGAGGCAATATTGTATCAGATTCATGAGTAAAATATCTCTGACAATTCTTAATTTTCCTGTATTTTTTTCCATTATGTTAAATACCATGTTAATAGGGTGGTTTTGTGCTAGAAAAAGCATGGAGTATTTTTCCCCTAGTACTTTCACAGGGCTACTTTGTTTATCACTATTGACAAATTGTGCAATTTGTCACATGAAGGATTTGTCACAGGATGAAATGGTGGAAAGCACCTAGCATTCAGGAGGTTGGAAGAATGTTTAGTTGCTGAGACACTTATTCTGCCAGAGGAATCAGAAGCATTTGCTGAAAGATTGACTACCCCAGCTTTCTTCCTTAGAAGAAAGAATTATTGGTTTAATCCTGTCTTGTTTTCAGTGTCTTTTTCTAGCAATCTGCTGTCTTGGAGAGAAAACAGAGACAGAAACCCAACATAATTATCTACAATC